ACCCACACCCCACCCACACCCACACCCTTTGACTATTTTGGTTTCTAACAGGGTACAGCTCTCTTGGTCTGGACTAATCATCAGCATTAGATGAGTACTATAACTGGTAAAAAAATCATACCATTCTAGTATATTATAGAAATTAAATGATAAAAACAAAGTTATGACATCCGGCCAGACCGCTCAACCCCATATATACTTCATTTAATTTTTTCTTTATTTTTTTAATTTTGTTTTCGATAAGATCTGCTGAGCCATCTATTCATGAAGTTGCTGCTGTTCTCAGCATCCTCAGAATTAGACGTCGACTGTCAAACCGTTGTTTAGATCACTTTTGTCATTTAATGCGGTGGTTAAAAACTCAAAACGTTCCAAAAAGTTTTGCTCATATAAAAAGTATACTTTTATCAAAATCAACAGCTGATATTTTACCACCATCTTATTTTTGTTCTAAATATGATAGAATGTCGGCTAATGAAACGCATTGTTTCAATATCAACTGTGATGAATATAAAGGTTTTCGTAAAAAACCACCTATACTGTGTGGTATCAATAATAGTGGCTTTCAAAAGATGTCCCTGATGACTTACAGCGTGTCATTAGCGAGCTCCAGCAAGTTATCACAATAGATTATAGACGAAACTACTGAGTAATTTCTTTACTGATCTATTCAAATTTAGAAGTCGTAAATTTACAGTCTTTGCCATCAAAGAATGAATCAAACAATTCAGAATCTAGATGCTGATAAGGTTGGAAAATATTTACTTTCTTTATCATGATATATAGCTTATATGTACATATAGCAGCAGAATATATTAGTGAATAATCCTCTAAATAATAAATGGCGTCATTTAAGTGCCTATATATGAAGTGTCTTTTCATCGTTGAAAATAATTATAAACGAGTCGAATAAGACGACTGTATTTCACGTCGCTGAAGCACATCGAAAGACTATTTGAAAAATGCATCTCCTTTCACTTTTAATTGTACTCGCTGCCATTTTTTTCGAAGTAAATAGTTTGGTTCTGTCATCCGAGGTGATTTACGTCAACCAGACACAGCCCAAAAGTTTCAACTGCCTAATACAAGCACAACGCTTCTATCGAAAGTTTCAGACTATTTATACATTTAACCTTAGTGCAACTACGGTTTATATTCAAATTCCAGGCCTCGTTTTCCCTTTTCAGCATCAAACACCCATGCTCTATCGTATCCGATATCAAGCTGTTTGTCGAATACTGAAAACTCATATGTTCATCCGAATACGTGTAGACAATCATTTAATAAACGGTGATAAGCTCATTTCAGACATGTCACATGGCGATGGTGCCGATGGCTCATTTTCTTCAAACAACAATATAAGTCAATGGTTTCAATGTTCAAAAACTGACATAATTTATCTGTCAGGTGGACTACATGTGGTCGATGTTGTGGCTAAAGGTGATGGATCTGAGATATCGGGTGGATTTTTGACGGTTGAGCTGACGCAGTATGAAGAAGGAGTAGACATTAACTTACCTGTGACAAACTTGCCGAAGTTAGTGTGAACACAGCGACAGTTTCTGTAAAACTAAATTATATGTATGAAGTTTACAGTAAGATACTGTGAAAGCGCCGCTATTTTTTGTATTCTTTTTATCAATAAAAACACCAACTTGAAATTGACGGTAAACATATATAGCTGGTTTCTTGGTACTTATAACAAATCAAGAAACACGTTAGAGATCATGTCACAGAGTAGTGTCCTGCGGGGAAGATTTTAGGGTGTGGGATGTGGGTCTGGGTGTGG